GGGGGGGGGGGGGGGGGGGTGCACACCTGTGGCGAGGCCCCATATCAGTCCCCGGGCAAGCCGAACACAGACGGGCAGATCCTCGGGGTTCGGCTCCAGGGACCGCTTCATCAACATCAGCCCGAGCAGAGAGAGCAGGCAGAGCAGGCCCAGGACCACATCGCCCACCCTGAGAGGGACAGGAGAGGCAGGGGAGAACGTTGGAACATCAGCCCTCAGGAGCAGCTTGCTGGTTTTTAGCAGCTCAATTAGCACGTACCTTTAGATAATACTTAATATGTGTTAATTACTAAATCAAATGTATTGCTGCAGCCCACAGTTAATAGATATGTTATTTCACCGCATGACACATACAATAACACATATTATCAACATCTAACCATCCACTAACACGCTTGCTTTGGCTAGCAGGCCCCTCCGCCCAGGCACGTAAGCCTCTGATTGGAGACAGGCTCCAGCGTGGCCCAATCACACTCAGCGCATGTTGCTGGGGCGATGGTGTCACGCTGTCCGTGTTTCATGAAAAATGCAGGAGCTCACCTGGCCTCGGGGATCTTTCGGAAGGTGTCGTATACCTGAAGGAAAAAATGCTGGGAGACGTTCTGAAGGCCGAGGAGGTTCTGCAGGGAGAAGACAAGAATAAAGGCGGCCGTTAAACATGCTTTCTGTGCGGTAGAGGACTTTCAATAGTATATCATCGTGATCATATGACACTGCATTGTATGTTGGATGGTACAAACTGAAAAAGCTAGAATAACTTAATGATTAATGACTTAACTATCCACCCGTCCATCAGTCACTTGGTCAGGTGGTGGGATGGACCACAGGTGGGATTCCAGTCTATTGTGAAGCACACACACACGCACGAACACACACACACACACACACACACACACGCACAGGCATACACGCACGCATACAATACACACACAGATGCCAATTACCTTAATTCCATGCCTACGACCTGGGGAGATCATGCAAACTCCACACACAGACGGAGGTGGGACTCAAACTTACAACCAAGGAGGTGGAAGGTGAGAGGGCTGCTCACTGGGCGGCCATGCTGCCCCACCTGATGATAATTAATAACTCCTGATGATAATTAATAACTTGATCGTTAGACCCTCATGGCATTATCACTGACCGTAGTGAATACCATCAGGTCTCAGACGGTACAGAAAATACTTTTAGTCCGTCAGCGGTTCCATGCACTGGAAAGCAGTCAAAACCAGTTTTCCTTTGTGCTGGACTCTAGCGTCTGTGGTGAATCAGACCATAGCAGAAACAGAACATATTGAAGAGAAGTTCTGGTATCACGCCGGTCAACCTTGAATCAACAATACCTTGGAGGTAAGAAGACTGTAACCATGGTACAGTCAACAGTTTAGAGATTCCTTAGATCATAGTTTCCCAGTCTGGTCCTCAGGGACCTGCAGACAGTCCATGTTCTTTGCTCCAGAAGCTGGGAAGGAGCAAAAATGTGAACCGTCTGGCAGAGCGCTTAGAGGGAGCAGAAATGTGAACTGTCTGGCAGAGCGCTTAGAGGGAGCAGAAACATGGACCGTCTGAGGGTCCATGAGGACCGGGTTGGGAAACACTGCACTAGATGACTACAGGCTCACCAGCTCATCCTGTAACCCAGCGATTCTCAACCCAAATTCGGGTCACATCAAGTTCTGAAAGGGTTGCGAGGCAGAGTTGTATGTGTCTCATGTTGACCCACGATCAGATTTCCCAGCCCCAATCCTAGAATTAACCTATATAAACGGGTCTTTCGTGTGCAACTGCTTAGTACAAAACTAAAGAACGCTCAACCAATCCAAGAAGTCACGTCCTATAATTTTAAATTCACTGGCACGTCCTATAAGATTCTTGCGTTATGCATTGATTGGCGTAAATTGCAGAGTGCACTGCGAGCTTGATCATAGCGTTAATTTAAACTTATATTTGATATAGAGTCTGACTGGCACGGTGGAAATTTGGTCATGGTGCAAAAAAAGTTTGAGAACCACTGCTGTAACTTATGACCTGTGACCCATATCTGGTGGAGGAAAGTCAGCCAAACTCACCTTCACCTGCCCAAAGCTGATGGTGATGGCCGCGGCACAAGTGAAGCCCTTGATGACAGGGTAGGAGATGAAGTCCAGCAGGAAGCCTGATGGACACAGACGCACTGGGTCAGAGGAATCTCTGCTCTTCCCCACAAGACAAGATCACAGTGCGGCATTATGGGAAAACCCAACAGCCTCCCCCCGGCATGATGAGCAGAAACATCAGAAGAAAGAGAAGCTGAGATGGTGACCACAAGCTTAGAACCCACATAGGGAACTACGGTCACACCCTTGACCTATCAAGGCTAGGGATCACATCTTTTTGCTGCGCTAATAATTTTCTTTCATTTTGCAACATTAAGGAGCTGGAGTAGTCATGTAAACACGTCACTTAGAGGAACTGAAACACAGACACAAGGTGCAGGGCGCTGTGTCTCTGCAGTGCACTGCCGGATATCAGCGGAGAATCAGGCTGCAGAGGAAAGAGCACAACCACCTAACAACTTCCTGCCTGTCTGGGCAGCTTTCTGGAAGTTTCTTTCATCTACATACGAGAAGCCCTTCCCCTACGTTTCAGACGATTTTGCGAGAGATCAAAACTTTTATGCAAAATATCTGTGGATCTTCTGGAACAAACACAGAACGTTATATTGCATTCAATAAATATTTAAAAATACACTTTTTAGTCCAGAAACATATTGTACTGCTGCACCTTTGAAAACATGTGACCAGTTATAAATTGGAGTTTGCAGACCCCGCCCCCAGAGTTTGCAGACTCCGCCCCCAGAGTTTGCAGACTCCGCCCCCAGAGTTTGCAGGCCCCGCCCCCAGAGTTTGCAGGACCCGCCCCCAGAGCGTCAGGCCCTCACCCAGCCTCAGGAATGCCATGGAGATCTGAATGAGGCCACAGAGGAAGGCGAGCAGCACGGCGTAGACGGGGTCCTGCTCGACGTAGGAGGCGCACAGCAGCGACATGATGGCGGTCGGGCCCAGCGTGATGTCCTTGGAGGTGCCGAAGATGCAGTACACGAACCCGCCCATGAACGCGGAGTAGAGACCATACTGAGATTGGAGGGAGGAAACACAGGACAGAGCACATCTAATTAGATCTTAACTCTTTGAATAAAAAGCTCAGATACCTTTTCAAGACTCCGTGTTTTCAGATTACCGATTCTCTGAGGAAATAATGACTGATTATGTCAGAAATGTGTGACCTATCCTAAGCCTTTCACACCTATGAACCACAAATGTTAAACTGCATTATGTTGTTAAGACTCTGCATAAAAGCCTTTCAATTCAATGTACACTTGGGTTAGCTGAAATGATAAGTCAACCATTATATGCCAAACAATCTTCCATAAACACTTATTCAAAACTGGATCTTTATGTGCCTGGAACCAATCCCAGGAAATGCAGGCCATGAAGACAGGGACAGCCTGGATGCGACATCAGTACATTGCAGGGTACAGTCATACACAAAGGACAATTTAGAGACACACCTAATCACACCTTTTGGACTGTGGGAGGAAACTGAAGTAAAAAAGGAAACACAGAGAGGACATTCAATCTCCACTCGGACTGCACTGAACCAATTGTCCCGGAGGTGTGAAGCCACATCGCTGAGCAATGAGATACCGCGCCACACTGAATTATTATACAATGCGACTGTAATGTTTATGACGGAACTATTCTGGGTAGTAAAATGGTACTGTACTTTCAGTGATTATGGTTCAGTATTCAGTTCAGCCAGAGACGATTAGGGTTTGAAAAATGGCTCCCTACCTGCACAGGTAAGCCGGCGACTTCGGCGTAAGCCAGCCCCTGGGGCACGGCGGTGAGCCCCACGGTAATGCCGGCGATCAGGTCCATGCGCAGCCAGGACAGCTCGTAGCTGGGCAGCCATCCCAGGATGGGCAGCAGCGTTTTCAGGCCGGCGGAGGAGCAGCACGTCGCTGCCTTCTCCCACACGGAGCCGTCGCCCCGGAGAGGGCGATCCGTCAGCGGCTCCATCATCTCTCACTCCGGCACGACGTGCCGGGACCGGCCGGCATCCGATGGGGGCGGGATAAGCAAGCTGCTACAGGCTGAAAGCAATCTGCCACTATAGTCTCTCAGTTTCCTTTTACTTCATAATTCCTTTATTACTCGATTAAGTACGTTTTCATACGTTTTTCTCCATCACCATTCACGGAAAAAAGTTAGTAAAAGTACATTCCTGTCAGTACAGAAACAAACTGTTTGTCGGTGCTTTACTGGGGGTGCAGGTGCCTTCAGACGTCCGTCTTCAGTGAAGTTCAAGCGTCACGTCCCTAGAAGATATAAAAAAGACCCGACACCGTAAAAGGCTTTGCGGCTTTTGCATTATGCAGGAGGCGCGCAGAGCTCCGGTGTCGCCGGCGTCGGTTGTCGCTGTCCCCGCATCCCGGCGGTCACATGACAGGGCGGCTGAAGCGCACACTCTCGCTTACTTCATTACGGGAGTCTACGGATTGCCTTTTAATTCCCGCCGTCACCTGATGCTTATTATTAAAATGACAGTCGTCTTTTTGTTATTTTTTCCCTTATTTTTACCCATTTTCATTATGATTATTTGACCGGTTCGTCTCGCATTCAACGTTAATAATCGATCACACTACACATTTACCTACATTTCATTTTAACCCGCAAAATCACTATTCAGGGACTTTAGTAAAAAAGAACAAAGGATAAAATCAAAAGCAGCACAAATCTACCTCATGCCTCATTTGTGTCCGACTTCTCCAACTTTCCTTGGCCTGTGCCGAAAATATCCTCTTTCGCTTCTTTATGTACTTTGACTATAGGTACATATTAATATTTTTAATCACTGCCTCGACATAACCACTTCCTTCCATGATCCGTAAGTGTGAAAAAGCCCTGTTCTGTCACACAGGCTCTGACGTCACGCCGGAGTCACGTGACTGCGGTCATGTGATTAGCAGGACTCGGTTGTACAGCTATAGCAGCGTAGGGAAGTGGATGGACTTTAAACACGAAAATACATACAGGCGGCTGAAGATCTCGAATAAACGAGGGAGGGGGGTTTTGCGTTTATGTTCGGCAAATACCTACGATGACTGATTCATCGAATCGGTTAAGTTTTGAGAAGTTTGCAACGTGTTTTGCGATGGCTCCGAGCAGCAAAGCCCCGTGTTTCCTGCTTGCCTTATTTCTGTTGTGCAACCTTGGGCTCTCCAAGAGGAGAAACGCGCTTCTCATTATAGGTAATTACTGCGCTGCTGTTGACGTAGGAGCACATGATCAGGCCGGGTTTCTTACTAGCAATACGATGTGTGAGCACCGAAAGCTGCACTATTGATTATCTACTATAACGGGGGTCGACAGTTTTTTTCAGAGCACGAACTGATTATCTTATATGTTTATCTTATTGATTCTTTGGTTAAAACTGCATTTGACTTCGTATCACCTGGGATTTAGATGCATAAGCATAGATATGTCACTGACTGAGTCATAGTGAGTTATGTGGGTCAGTTTAGTTGCCCAAAAAGTACATTGTTCCAGGTTTAAAAAAAAATTCCATCGGGATGCGTTAATCCGACCTCAGCACTCATCATTTTGCACTGATCGCAGCCGACGACGCGGGCTTCGAGACTGAGGTGTACAACAACTCCGCTGTTCACACCCCTAACCTCCGGGCCCTTGCCGAGCGCAGCCTCATTTTCCGGAACGCCTTCACCTCCGTCAGCAGCTGCTCGCCCAGCCGCTCCGCCATCCTTACCGGCCTGCCGCAGGTATGCACCCCCCTCCCGTCCGGCGTTACGCTTCTCTGGGTACAGCAGCAAAATAAGGGGTTTGGGTATGAAACGGCAGTAGCGTGATTCTTGTAGAGCCAGGCAACCGATGTATAAATACATATTCATCAGGCACAACATTTAAAATCGCACCATATTGTATCATAAGGCAAAATAACTTGTGGTTTTCTAATCAGCACCAAAATGGAATGTACGGCCTGCACCAGGATGTCCATCACTTCAACTCTTTCGATGGAATCCGAAGCCTGCCCTACCTGCTGGGGCAAGCCAACATCCAAACAGGTGCATTCCAGACAGCAAGGCAACCTGTGTGTGTGTGTGTGTGTGTGTGTGTGTGTGTGTGTGTGTGTGTGTGTGTGTGTGTGTGTGTGTGTGTNTGTGTGTGTGTGTGTGTGTGTGTGTGTGTGTGTGTGTGTGTGTAAGGACAGTGACCCATAGATGTAGGTTAGCACCTCCACCTGCCTGGTACATTTCCGTTTGTAAAAATGTCAGCACTGCCGGTCAGTCTGACCAGTGTCCGCTAAAGCAAACAGAATAAATGATGTGCAGTTTGGCGAAGGGGCCTCAGCACAGCTACCAGGGGGGAGATTTTGGGCCCCCTGCTCTCCCCTCCCCTCCCTCAGATGTTTCAAAAACTAAATACATAGCTACTCATACTCAGTAGAGTCAAAAAGTCATAGTTAGTTAGCTGGTTGGCAGAACATGCTGCTTCAGCATCTCCTATATAAAGAATGTGTATATTTAATTTTTAGTGTAGTGACTGTTTGTGGCCAACAGGGGGCCCCAAGCAAATGCATGGTTAGGGTGGTGGTAAGCTCATGAGAGTTTCTTACACAGATGTTCTGATGACAGAATGAAAAATGATTGGTTACCTCTGGAGGTGGGACCAAGACATCTGACTGGTTGGTCCTGCATCCACTACTTGCTTGGACACACCTCTTCTAAAATCTGATTGGTTCAGAGAGATAGCCAATCATTTTTTGTTCTGCCCTCAGAACATCTTTGTGTGAGTAAAACTCCCACAAGTGTGGTGCTAAGCACTGTCGCTGTGAGAACCCTCCCTAGGGTACGGACTTTGATCTAGTCCTGGGGGGTCCCTGCTCCGCAGGCATCATCGGGAAGAAGCACGTCGGTCCGGGGGAGGTGTACCCCTTCGACTTCGCCTACACAGAGGAGAACGGCTCGGTTCTGCAGGTGGGCCGCAACATCACACGCATCAAGCTGCTGGTCAGGAAGTTCCTGCAGGCGCGGCATGAGGACCAGCAGCCGTTCTTCCTCTACGTGGCTTTCCACGACCCCCACCGCTGCGGCCACTCGCAGCCGCAGTACGGACCCTTCTGCGAGAAGTTCGGAAACGGCGACAGCGGGATGGGCCGCATCCCCGACTGGACACCTCGGCATTACACCCCGGAGGAGGTCAAGGTGAGCGGGGGGGGCATTCCTGGAAAAAACCTTCCAGTGATCGGGGGGACATTCTGTGGAGTGTGTGTTGGGGGGGGTGCTGTCCCAATCTAGTGTCTGATCCAGTCAGGTGACAGCAGAACACAGGTATCCCTAGAATTTAATGCAAGTTCATTATTACGTTACATTATTACTTGTCCTGCTAGTTTGGTCAGACTGACGTCATACAGATTCACATCTTGGGTCTTCACTGTGTTCATTTTGGTTCTGTTGAGTTCTGGGCCATAGACTGCATCACACCAGGTGCCCAGAGGGGGAGTCGGGCCACATCAGGCAGCTGTGCCGAATCCTTCATGCAGGAAGATGGTTCTGCTCTGGTCATTGATCTGATTGTAACTGCTCTCTGTTTCCATCCGGTGTGCCGGACAGGTGCCCTATTTCACCCCCGACACCCCAGCTGCCCGTGCCGACCTCGCCGCGCAGTATACCACGGTCAGCCGGCTGGATCAAGGTGAGGACGGAGGGCGGCCCTGATTGGCTGTCTCTTAGCACCAGGGTCACATGACTGCATAGCTTAGGCTACAGTGAAGGACAAGCCTAAACACAACCAAAACAAATGATAACATAGTTGTAGCATGTTTCTTGTTCACCTCTTATCAAGTGTGTCCCATTGTTTTCAGGAAATGTCTGGGCACTCAAGCCTTTCACATACACTTGCACACTTTGCGTCCAATGCCAACTTATATCACCAAAGTGTGTAGTATCTCAGTGCCTTGCACTTAAGTCGTGTAAATGGGACGAAGCCCAAATTCACAGTGAATGTGATACACTTAAAATTGCCTGTAGGTGTGCTTGCGTGAGTGAGTGACTGGTGCGTGAGTGAGCCCTGCGATTGGTTGTTCCCTGCTTTGCGCCTGTAACCTTCGAGATAGGCTCTGGACCCTCCGTGACCCTGGTTAGGACTAGTGGTTTTCAGAAAATGGGTGGGGGTCCACAATTTGTAAACATTATTAAATGTCCCTGTGGAGATGAAGCGTCTGAGTGTGACAAATGCTTTTAATAATATCTGGGATTAGCCCCTCCCCTGAGGAAACCCCCCCACGCTGCTTTGGCTCTGCCTGAGGTCGGATCCCGTGTCATTTCCTGGGCAGGAATCGGCCTGGTGCTGAAGGAGCTGCAGGAGGCCGGGTTCGAGAACGACACGCTGGTCCTGTACAGCTCCGACAATGGCGTCCCCTTCCCCAACGGCAGGACCAACCTGTACTGGTCGGGCACTGCGGAGCCTATGCTGCTCTCATCCCCGGAGCACAGGCAGCGCTGGGGGGGGACCAGCGAGGCCTACGTCAGTCTGCTGGGTGAGCGCACTCTGCCTTATGCACTGCTTTATAGACCTGTACTGTGAGAGAGGTACATACAGTAGGCAGGGGGCAGCCCAGTGACTAGCCAGGAATTAGCACTGCTGCTAACCAGTATTCCAGGGTTATTTGTATATTACGCAGTATATTACTGACCAAGTCTCTTCAAGCCTCAGAGAAGCATTATTTTATTTTTGTATTCTAAACAGCAGTTGGTGATTTTTTTTGTGCGTGTGTTGCAACTTTGTAATGGCATAGCGCATACTGATCGCTAGATGGCGCTAGATACCATAACATAGTTTTGTCGGCGGTAACCGGGAGATTACTTCAAAACTAACGTTATTTTTTTTAAAAAAAAAGCTAATTTAGGTTTAACCAACTGAAATGTGTCTTGCATTCTGTATTTTATTTACTACTTTTGTAATTATTACTCATGTGGCCTTGAAATGAATTTCAAATCCGGTCTTATAGCTGCTTTTTTTTCACATTTTATTAATATGGTTATTTAATGGCCATGGGAGAAATGAGGCTCTGGACCCACATGTAATGAGGATTCACTGCCTGATTTAATCCAATGGGAGCAAAACACCCACCAATGGGAAGCGGAAGAGCTGAGCATGTGACCGGCAGTGCCCCTCCCACTGTGGATTTCAGCAGCCTCATGCCATGAGTGAGACGCGTAAAGTCAGTCACTTAGCAGGGCCCCCCCCCCAGAATATGAACAGGCAGCCCCCTGAAACCGTGTGTGTGTCCCCTGTCCCACCCCAGACATCACACCCACCCTCCTGGACTGGTTCTCCGTGCCCTATCCGGCCTACAGCCTGTTCCGGAAGCAGCCGGTGCAGCTGAGTGGGAAATCCCTGCTTCCAGCGCTGAGCTCGGAGCCGCCCTGGGACACGGTGTTTGCCAGCCAGAGCCTGCATGAGGTCACCATGTCCTACCCCATGCGCACCATCCTGCGTGGGCCCTACCGCCTAGTGCACAACCTCAACTACAAGATGCCCTTCCCCATAGACCAGGACTTCTACGTGTCGCCCACCTTCCAGGACCTGCTGAAGCGCACGCAGGCGGGGCTGCCCACGGGCTGGTTCAAGACGCTGAGGAGCTATTACTACCGAGAGCGCTGGGAGCTCTACGACATCCGGGACGACCCACACGAGACCCGGAACCTGGCGCCGGACCCCGACCACGCCGACACCCTGCGCAGCCTGCGGGAACAGCTGCTCAAGTGGCAGTGGGACACCTCGGACCCCTGGGTGTGTGCCCCAGATGGGGTGTTAGAGACCAAGCTGAGCCCGCAGTGCCAGCCGCTCTTCAACGACCTGTGACACATCCCCCACCCCCCCCCCCCCCCCCCCCCCGGCCTGTTTTTTTTTTTCCAGTTCAATTCCATTTTCTTTGTATAGCACATTTTCACATTACATTGGCTCAAAGCGCTTTACATTGTCCCTGCCCAAAGCCCCCAGTGAGCAAGCCAGAGGCAACAGTGACAAGAAAAACTCCCCAGTAGGAAGAAATCTTGGGAGGAACCAGACCCAATGGGGGAACCCATCCTCCAGGGGGCAGCAGAGGAAGCCCTAACCCTGACCAAACCCAATGGGGGAGCCCGTCCTCCAGGGGGCGGCAGAGGAAGCCCTAACCCTGACCATACCCAAAGGGGGAGCCCGTCCTCCAGGGGGCGGCAGAGGAAGCCCTAACCCTGACCAGACCCAAAGGGGGAGCCCGTCCTCCAGGGGGCGGCAGAGGAAGCCCAAACCCAATGGGGGAGCCCGTCCTCCAGGGGGCGGCAGAGGAAGTTCAAAGTGTTGTTTCTGGTTTTTTTTTTAAATACCAGGGCAGTTTCATGCCTGAACCTTGTGCCGTTTACAGCAGCTTTACCCTTCTGAAGTCAAGGGGGGCAGCTGTGTTTAAAAATCCCGCTATAGTGTAGCACTGTTCCTGTCTTCAAATAACGCTTCAAATGGAGATATGAAGAATGACTTTACATCTGATTAGCCCCTGAAATTACAGGAGCTATTAAGTTGCTTAATAAGTGATTAATCTGATTTTAATACTGTCCGTGTTGTATAATTTGCGCAAGGCAAATGTGATAAGGCATTAAATTGTTTATTTTCACAAACATCCTCTTCTAAGATCCGTTTTGTCACGATTTAAAAAACCGTTAAAGGTTAATTATCAGGGTTTTTTTTTCTTTGCCATCGTCAAAAGGTTAAGTATCTAGATCCTTATTTTTAATCACTCTGCTCAAGTGTCCTTAATTAAGTTTGTTGGAGCGGAATTAGACGTAGATGTGGGCGCCAGACGCCAATTAAGTGACTGACCTCGCCTTCCTTAGACAACGCGGGACGCCGGGGTCGCGGGCTCTTTGGGTATTTATGATTAAATGATGCTGTTTTCAAGGTTGCTGTTAGACAAGAGGTACGGGACACATGTATTCAGTCCTATGTAGGATCAACGTTGATTCTAAGTGTATAAAAGCGTCTTTTTTCATTTTAAGCTAACGCATTAAGGACTTCCAAAGCCTTTCTAAAGCAGTTTCCCTTCTGGTTAAATGATGGGCGTTTTACATTTTTTCACACTTTTTTTGATGCGCGTTTCACATCTCGCAGCATCTTCGATATCTGTCATCCGCTCGCTCTGCACATCCCCCCGGCTGCCTACGATTTGGGTGTCCAACTTCATTCTCTTAAATATGATAGTACGCACGTCACACTCAGCTCCAGGTTTCAAAATCTGATAAAAAAATCTATATTTTATATTCAGTTTCTAGAGTACTATACTTGGCACCTTGGGTTCCTGAAAAGCGCTAATAAAAATATTTGTATTATTATTTCCACTGTATGATGTTTTCTGAGTATTTCTCCGAAGGTGACGTTACCCAGTAATGCAAATGCGCCATGTCATTTCTGATTTTTTTTCGTTACCTATTGATGCTCATTATTCTAATGAGTTAGCGTGGCACTTCGTTTCATTAAGTATTTTTTGTTTCTATTGACAGGTTTATAGCATCAGTAAACAAAAGTGGATCGGTATGGATTACGATTTGCTTTAACCTGTTCGCTTCAAGTTGCATTTGAAATAAAACGCATAAAAGAAAAATATAAACGCGTATAGCCAGAGCAAACGTTTAGCACAGGTCGGTTATTATAAATATATATTTTTCCAAGTCCTACAGTACAAAGGCATGGGTTCTTTGTTTTTAAGTGTTGCTGGATGAATCAGAGGTATAACAAATGTGCGGGTTTAAATAACGGAGTGGTTCAGATTTCCTGCATCCCTCAAACTCAGTTTGACATTTTGGAAATATTACTTATTGGGAATATCTTGGCAAGTGTTTTGTTTGGTATTTTGGGGGGTACGGATGAAATAGCGACGGCGTCACCGGAATTTGCGCCGAGACAGTGCTGACGCCCGGTCGTGACCATAATGCCAGGTCTGTGCGAAAATATTCCATCATCAAAGAAAAGGGAGGAAGTATATTTATGACATTACCACCTTTCTCCCCCCCCCCAATCGATACATTTCAGGTCGCAATTCGGTAAGGCGGAAACGTAAATCACCCAGTCCCGTGAAGTTTGACGAGTGTGATCACGACTGCGATTCGCCTATATAAGCGCTGGCTTTTGGGGGCAGCCGTCAAAAGACGCAGAGAAAAAGAGAGAGAGGGCGATCAGCGCAATGCTAGAAATGGAGAAGTCCGTCAAGTTCGCCTTGGTGGTGGTAGCGATCTCCCTGCTCATTTCCTGCCATCCTACAGAGGCGTGGTACAAACAGGCGACCGGTCCGAGCTATTATTCCGTAGGCAGAGCTTCTGGTCTGCTGTCCGGCATTCGGAGGTCGCCTTACATCAGAAGATCCGAGCCCGAACCGGACAGCGGAGAGACGGCGGCTAACAGCGTGATTGCGGACTTCGGAAGCCGGCAGAACGCCGTTCTGAAAAATTTGGTGAGTACCATAATACGCAATGGCACCGACATTAAGACTTATGCTTAACGACTGTATGTGGACCAAAACAAATGTTTTGATTTGTCATTTTTTACTCCAACCCCCAAAAAATAACTTATGCTTAAAGTCAGAGAAAGTGCATCTGCATGCGAGGAGAATCTGCTTTCCCTTCAGCCGGATCTAGGCTAACGCAACTTTCTGAAAGACCAAATAGTTTTACGGTACAATAGCCTATGTCTGATGTGTATTAAACATATGAATGTTTCCTTGAAATTCCAATTTGAAGTGAGTAAATACACAAACTGTCAAATGTATCTATAAATGATCTCTAAAAGTTTCGGGAACATTAAGAAAAAAACTGGTCCTGTCGCTACCATTGGATAAAATCCGCAAATTCCTAATTCAGGCAAAGATATATTGTTCAAATTATCAGTAAACAAAAATGGTAGGTTTAAGGTGGTTTGTGTCCTTATTTGATTTCTTGCCTGATCCAAATATTGTTGTCCCTCTGCAGGCGGTGTGTGTGAGAGACATCTCCCCGAACCTGCAGAGTTGCCAGCTCGTCCAGGACGGAACCAGCACCTTTCAGTGCAAAGCGGACGTGATCCTGTCGCTGGACTCCAGGGACTGCAGCGGCGCCTGAGCCCCCCCGACCCCCGGAGTACTGTCGCGATGGACCGATCACGTTGAATGTTTCATTTTACGCGACAAATGTGATGGTTAGCAACCTTTAAAAATAATCCAAAGTATGGTATGTTGCGAATGTCTGTATGAATCCCCATCCGTCGCCCACGCACCAATTTCCCCTCTGTTCCAAATGTACACTATTAAATGATCATACGTTGTTTACTGCCGCGCAGCGCTCTCAAGGATTGTTTCTTTATTTTTATTAAAATTTACATACCATTAAATATTTTGTACATGGAGTTTGTGCTTAAATGATATGAAAATATTTTCCCCCCCCACTTAGGAATTCGCCTTGTCTCGTTTTGTGTAAAAGTAAAATTTATAGACCAGCAAGTCAAATCATCTCCCCCCAAATATTTTATAACCAAACATATCCAAACAATTAAAATAATACTTTAATATTAGTGCATTCATCTTCGTAACAAAACAAGATAACTCTGAACAGATCGGTAGACGTACACAAAATATTTCACAGTAAATTTACATTACTCATACTACGCTATTAATCGTCCGTGAAGTTTCAGGTGATAAATAATTTACACACATCCAAGGAGGTGGACTTATGTAATTCAGTGTCCCTGTCTCACGAGTGCACAATGACTGTGGCCTTGTATATACATTTCGTATATCGTAATGAAACATTAAAAAAAAAAAACCAGTGTAAACCTAAAACAGCTTTCGACTGGAACATGGGCTCCGAGGGAAACCATAAAGGTCCCGCTTGACTGGAGGGCAGGCATCAGTTTTGCAAGCCCCTCAACTTGCCATCGGTCAAAATCGTAAACTCTCAAAATTAAACATCCCAAAATAATAACGCCAAAATCACTTCTGGAATGTTTTTGTTAAAAAAAAAATAAGGGTGAAGATTTTAATCCCCAAAGATCGCGAATGACAGCGGCAGTGATGTAAAAACCAAATACCCAGGGAGATTAGTCCAAATACCACGTTTCTCACACCCAAATCTCCTTTCCGTAACAACCGTCAAAAGCCTGCCACACTCATGGCGGAAAAGTGCTGTGAACTAAAAGGAAACCTCAACAAATTAAAAATGATTAAGAGTACGGCACACTTGGAGGAAAGGTGCGGCAGACTCCGCGTTTTAGGTGGCGCCAAGCTTCATCTACATAACACATCATGAGCTTGACGTAAGGCTGCTAAATACTCAGTTTGTCATAAGCCTCATCCGTCGGTGGCCACAAGCTGTTTGCACGCAGCGAGGGTTTATCCCGCGGAATTATGAAATTAAGTGGCACGGTGAAATTATGCAGGTGTCATGCGGGTGATTTAAACGGCAATTCATTCATACTCCGTTGCTCTGGGGGATCGAGCTCATCGGATATATCTGCTGCTTCACCCAAAGGCAGCAAAATAAATTTATCTGCGGCTAACTGCGCGATTCTGATGCCAAACTTCTGTGTGCTGAACTTCAACCCTAATCCATTTCCCCAAACCAGAGGCAGTGATTTCATAGGGAAATGAATGTGTGCAAAGCTCTAGTGGGAAACTCATGCGTGTTTTGGGCTGCGACAAATCCCCACCTTTTCTCGCTTTCTCACTACTCACGGTGACCACTAAGCCAAGAAACATAAATGCCATCCGGGGCTGAAGTCCTATATGCTGTCTCATCGCGATGCTTCTTAAGGTCAGAAACAGGCTTAACTCCGGGGCCGCCGCGCGATCACGCCTCGCATCACGTGGTTACTCGCGGACCACGCCCCCCGACCGCGGCAGCCGCACTCGGACACGGAGAGCAAGCAAGACGGAAAATGGGCTGTAAATAAGAGGGGACAAAAGATCGCCGTCTTATAATTTGCCTTGCTGTCCAAATGTTTTCCCCAGAGCGGTCGCCGTGACCGACAGTCGCGCCACTTGGACTGAAAGCGTCAGTTTAAAGACCGGAAACTGAAGACTGCGCACAGGGCTGTCAAAAGCCTAACGACCAGGCACAGCGTGCAGCACCCAAGCCTTTCACCCAAGTAAAGGCTATTGATGAAATACTTTTTCTGGTTAGAGTTTTTTTCCCCCTCCATATTCTTGTTATAGCCTAAGAGTTTGTTCTGGTACAAACAAATCCTGTTGATAAAGCTTCTGAATATGAATCAAAGGAAGCGTGCGGATCCTGCATCCTCAGAGCAGAGACACTGCCTCCAGGTTCTCCTTCATGATGGTGTCCATGACGACCTGGAAGACGACTTCTACGTTGGAGGTGTCAGTGGCTGTGGTGAAGTGGTGATAGATCAGCTTATCGGGGACGGTGTTGACTGCCCCAAACATGCCGGCGATGAATCGGGCTCCAGCATCCACATCACAGTCAGCACCTGACATTTGGGGCGGGGGGGGGGGAGGCACAAAGTCAACAACAGCCCCTCGGCGCCTGGGTGCCAATTCCCGGCCCACCTTTATGACACACACCATGTCTATCTCCATGTGATATGTGGAGAATATATGGACTAAAAAGCTGGAATAAGTGAGTCATAAGTACGTAACGTATACTTTATATATGGTTTAATCATTTCCTTTTTATTTAGCCAGAAGGGTGACGGACGCCTTGATAAGATTGAAATTCATTCATTCCCAATGAAAACAGTATCACTGCCATGAATTATTTATGAAGCTCTTGAGCCAGAGAGAGATTGAGGACGTGCGATTACATCGCTCACCCTTGGAAGACCAAAACGGGAGCGTGTGCATAAGCAAGGTGAAGAGGTTGGCCGCCGGCAAGCCCTGGGTCAGAGAATCCAATCTGCGTGCCACGGCGCTTAGATTGAAATTAGCATGACGGCGGGATTTTTGCGGGGGGACACGCAGCGGCTTAGGAGCAGTCACACAGGTGTGACGGCAGACTCGAGGCAGCGTGAACGAGCTCAGGGTAAACCCGGGCAGGAGAGGGGTTCATAGCCCTCTGACAGGAGGGAGGTTGTAAAATGAGAGGTGATTGCGACACCTTTGGCCCCAGGGAGAGTGACGGACCCGGAAAGCACGGTGTAGCTGATTGCACACGGATGGGCGGGACACTCCTGCCTTCTCCCAGCTAACTACATAGCCAAAGGCATCAGGACACCCCCCCCCCCCCCAATCAGCCGCTGACACAGGCACTTAACAAAGTGCACAGCTGGAGGAATAATGGTGTTGGCTTGCCGGGTGGCTGGACTGGCCTAAACAAAGGTACTCTGACCCAACTGAACACCGGTGGGATCAACAGGAACGCTGGCAGTGGTCAGTCCTGAGCAACCAGCATCGCTAGCCTGTCTCACTAAAGTTCCTGTGTAAAGATCATGCAAATCCGAACAACAATATTACATCTAGTGCAAATCCTTCCCGGAAGAGCGGAGCGTGACCAACAGCAAATGGGAACCAACTTCATATTAAAACTCTTGGTGTCAGAGTGAGAAATTGGACAGACTGGTATGCAGAGACATTTTTATGGTCTCCAATGACTTATTTCAATAATAGTGACTTCAGCTTGAAGTTCATTCAAGACAAAAAAAGAATGTTCTTTGTCAGGCTTAAATCACTGAGGAAGATCCCTCATGACCTCACCTGTGAACTCCGGCAGGTATAGCCTCAGATGTCTCCCCGAGTGCAAGATCTTGTCTTGAAACAGATCGATTTTGTTCAAGAATAGAATCTGCAAAAGAACAGGACGATCACTGCTAAAGACGGCACAGACAGCTGGGCACAAAGTGATTCAAGTCGCCTTGGGACCTCCAAGAGTCCTCACCCAACTTTTATTTTGACATTTTTGGTGCCAGACAGGAATGTAAACCCAGTGTACGGCAGACATCAGTTACCCATTCAGGAACTCCGGCCTAAACAAACATTCTTTTTACCATGTGATGCCATCGGTCGTCCAAGTCGCGTCGATAAAATCGCAAATAGAAAAAGAGCGAGAGTGGGAAAGGAAATAGCAGGGCATTGATTAAGAGGATGGACGAAAAATAAAGTCTTCCGCTCAAACCATCCCCCTCCTGTAATTAAAAGGCCGCGTTATGGAGACACCGACTCTCTCGCCCGCTCCAGTAACTGATGACTAATGGGTCTCGTAATGGCCCCCCAAAACGAGGTCAAATACACCAGCTCGTTACACGGCCCAATACCTGCGACGCGGACCGGAGTATAAAATCGACGCTGCAGTTAAATTGGCCCCTTTGCATTCTAATTACAGATGACAGAGGCAATTAGACACCAGCCTGAGACAGGGAGCAGCCGTGGGCGGGTGACGTGAATCCTGTGACGCAGACGCCGTGACGGAGTGACTCGCTGATGAAACTGCGCGGGGGTGGGGGGTGCACCGAGTCGGGTACCCGCAGACAGTTGCTGACATGGGCGTGAATTATGGGGGGATGGGGGGGTTGTAGCCCCCCCAATAAATCTAAACCAGCTAATACAACCCCCCCAATAATCATGATTGGAGACCTGAACCCCCCCAATATTCCAGCCAAAGTTACGCCCTTGGTTGCTGAAACAGGCGGATTTTAATGTTCTGGAATTTTACGGGCGGGTAGCAGGTCAGTATTGTAGCCTGCAAAAATAACATATAAGCGAAAATATCTATGTATTACACTATCACACATCATCAAAGTGTGTTCAGTATGTCGGAGGTACCTTATGGTGCTTTCGATTATTTCTCTCCAAGTCGGCACTCGGATGAAAACGTCATGAAACGTCACGAAAAACGCCACTTCCCGTCGGAAACACGCCTCTTATGACGTTGATGTCAGACAAGATTTTGTTGTCCGAGTTGCCCCTGTGATGTAATTTCAACATGGCGGCTTACACACTCAACAGTAATTCTATTTTATAAATCTTTAAAAATGTTTATTTTGTTAAATGTATTAATAGTTATAAATGTAACTGCACGTGTTCGATTTAGAGAATACCATAACATGACCGTAAACAGTATCCTATCATGCAATATCAGATTTTTACCAGACTTGTTAGTGTCTTTGGTTTGTTTGTAGTTTGTTTGCCTCTCGAAAAAAGAATATTGCTATGGATGTGCTAAAATATTTTAGAAAGCTTTTAAAGTGGTTTGACTAGTTTGTGTTTTTTTGTCTCTGGGAAAAAATAATCTCACTCCAAATCTGCTAAAATATAAAGCAACAACACACAGCAGCGTGTTCATGGAGACAGCCATGTTTGTTCCGAGATGTGGTAGCTCGAACGCGAGATTGTCGGACGTGATGTCACTCAACTCGGAATTTCCGAGTTCCGAGAGAAAAAC